CGGTGGAGGCCACGGCGGAGGCTTCGGTGGCGGAGGGCATGGAGGAGGGGGATTTGGCGGCGATCATCACTCGTTTGGCTCTAGCGGCTATGGAGGCGGATCTTCAGGCTTTGGCAGCAGGTGAGTGAAATACAAAATGTTTTGTTTCTTTTGAAGAATTCTATTTTAACACGTTGACTGCCATGGTCACCGATGACTCCCACAAATCGAATTGCTGTAGGTCACTCAATGAAACGACGATTATATGAAAACGTTTCTATATTGTAAATAATGCTACATAATACAAATGAAACGAAAAAAGATATAATATTGAATTATCGAATTAAACTGCGTTATTGTTATAGTTTCTCTTGTCGAATGTCAGTGCGTTGGGTGACATTATTTATAATATAAAAATGTTTTCAAACAGTCACCGTTTAATTCAATGAAACGATGATTATTCGCAAACATTTCTATATTGTAAATAATGCTACATAATACAGTGACATTTGGCTAGATGAACGTGGAATAGTAATAATGCAATTCGATCGAATTAATATTGTATTTTTTCCATTCGACGCATTTTCCTCTGTGAAATCGTGCGGCGTTCAACGTGTTAACGAGTAGATAATGATAATTTACAAAATGCGCTGACTATAGTGTTACACGGACAGCACGCCGAAGAAAGTGCAAGACCGAAATATCTGCCGCGTTACCGAAACAAGTTTAATAACCCAAAGACAGTAGTAGGTCACCCCGTTCCGGGTTTCACCGCATTAATTGACTTTCACGACAGATGCTAATAACGTTTTTAAAGTAGGGAGAATTCACGGTGAATATTTATTCCAGCGGCCATGGCGGCGGTTACAGTTCCGGCGGCGGCTACGATTCCTATTCGAGCGGCCATGGCGGCGGCGGCGGCGGCGGCGGCGGCGGTGGCAGTCATGGCGGTTTTTCAGGCTACCACAAAAAGAAGTAATATCGGAAGGACCAATGTCGCGTTCCCGACAGGTCGGCTTGACCGACTTCCATTGTCGATCATCGAGTCACGTTCGAATCACGCGATCGGCGCTGCGTGACTTTCGATCGCGACTGCCGGCGAAGTGGCGGCCAATGAAATTGCACCGTTGCATCTGTTCTTAAACTGAGTTGGACTACAAAGCTGTCGTTCGACTTCGAACCGTTCGACGATTCATTGTCAGATTAGATTTTCTCCAAGCGAATCACACGTTTGACGATCAGGAACACCGACGGCCAGCGTTCACGCGAGATTCAAGCAAAAAGCATTGACGTTTTCAAAATGGTGCAATTTCCACGCACGAACCGTCGATCTACCGATCGATCCCCGTGACTCGCGCTCGGCGCGGTTTTCTCTTTCGTTTGCCTTCCGAGATGCCAGATGTGAACCGTAAATCATTTCCAGCGGTTGGAAACGGAATCGCGGGTTTAACGACGCGATCCCGGGAAAAAAAGCTGCGACCGCTACCAGAACGGTAGCGTCGATTTAGTAAGATAGAAATCGCTTTATGCCTCCTAGTAAATTCTCGAGGCGCCGTGTTCACCTCCGCGAGAAAGATTTCAGGCTCTTTCTCCGCGACACGACCATGGAAAGTTCCGATAAGAACGAGAAAGTATTCCCTTGTGGTTGTAACTTCGGAAAATCGTTGTTCGATCGTTGTTCGCAACGATCGTCCGCGAAACACCTGAACCGTAGCGTCCCGCGGGGCGTTCTAGTTGTTTAATCACGATTGCGACATAACCGATTGTTCGCTGCACTCGTCGCGTTTTGTACATACCATATGCTATGTAAATACTGCTGCCTTATGTTATGTTTAAATAAATTGTTTTTTACGTTTTTCTAAGCATCGCCTTTCCTTACTAACATGAAAGAACTCGCGTAATCCAACAACGCGATCTCTTAATTACATAAGAAATCGATGATTGACAGTCTCTAAAAACATAAATCTACATAAATTCTTAAAATCTATTAATACGAGTCTTTAGTATTCTCTAAACTGTGTTTCGACGATTACTATCAAAATTCAACGTCGCAGGTTGAAAACCTTGAACGCTTTCCAAAAATACCTTGATAAATACAAAATGTGAAATGAGTGAAAGAAATCGAGCTCCGAGACTCATTAACACTATAACTACGTAACAGTCAAAATGACCGATTTGTTTGTTTAGCAATTATTATCTTCGAAGCATTGAATATTGGAAATGACTTTGAAAACAAATAGTTTCACTTGAGTACTATGACGAATATCCAAAGCTCCGAGACACATGATCTTAACACTAGAACTACCGTACCAGTCAAAATGACTTCGATTTGTTTGTTTAGCAATTATCTTCGAAGCATTGAATATTCGAAATGATCTTGAAAACAAATAGTTTCACTAGAGTACTATAATGAATATCCAAAGAAACTGAGAATAATCTATTGCTACAATTTTTATAGAATATCAATCGTATCAAATGCTCGGTAGTTCCAGTGTTAATATCCCAAAATCGTTCTCGTCACTAACGGTAGCCACATTCTCGATCACTTTTCATTTTTCCCTCGAGACTAGTTCCAGCGGCGAGGACCTTATACGGTCATCGTTCGCATTCACACCCCTGTTATGGCCCTACCGTGCCTCTCGATGATCCGTCCGACTTCCGTCGTCATTACAGTTCCCAGTAATCGGTTTCGAATGGTTTCTTTTCCCCTCGGCGCGATCGTTCCGGTGAAATCTCTCTTCTTCGTCGCATCGTTTCACCGTTCCTTCGATTTCACAGGTTGTTGATCATCGCGCGGAGCAATTAATCAGAGCGATCGGACGATGATCTGCGCGCGTCCAGCGCCTCTTCCGATCGCGACGGACGTGCTCGCCGTAATGGAGCCATTTCCCCGCGACGATGATCGTTAACACGCGGCCGATGCCGCGGTGATTAGCTTGAAATGGAAAGTAAGCGGAAAGTGAAAGAGAGCAGATGTTATGGTGCACCAGACGAGGACGATTTCACTCGCGCGATGCCGCGCGGCTGGACCTCTCGCTGACACGGATGTTGCCCTTGATTCCTGGTGCTTAACACGTTGAACGCCGCACGATTTCGTGCAGCGAAATATACGAAACGGAAGAAATAAAATTACATTCACCCTCTATAACCTTTCTATAACCCTCAGTACAAAATTAATAAATATCCACGTATGAATACGAGTTAACGATGTATTCAATAGTTTCAATAATCTCATGGAACGAATATATTTTGTAAGTTACAATGACATTAAACTTTTACGCCTGAGCGTATGAAAGTTTAACTTAACTGATTACCTAATTTTATTCACCACTTTGAGTGCAAAATCAAGTAGATCAACAAGATGATGTACTGACACGTGACTTCAAAGTTACGTGGGCCTACAGAGGGTTAATTAAAAAAAATGTTATATATCTATCTTCATGTGAATAGAATCATAGATTTTCTTGAAAGAAAATCGAAGTACTCGAAATGGAAAAAATATAATATTAAACCATTCGATCGAATTGCAATTATTGAAGGTTGATCCAGCTGAATATCACGTTTAGGTAGTATTAAGTATAATATAGGAATGTTATCAAATAATCATCGTTTAATCGAGTGTATCAGTAGTTCGATTTGGTTGGGTTACTGGTGACTCCATGGCATTCACCGTGTTAAGTTTTACTTTATCGCGTACTTTATTTTACTGTCTCTAGAAAAATGGTTCGTTCGTGTTCATATTGGTAATTGAAGGAAAGATAATTAGGATATAGTTTGTTACGCTAGTTCCGTTGAGTCTTTACGAAATTTAATTCGTTATTTAATCTTATTTTTCAAATTGGGTTCTATAGACGTAACACTAGTCAGATTGATAATTTTATTCTTCCTTAGAGTGATTAACAGTAAGAAATTACACGAGTATATTTATTGAGATGCTGACAGGTTACTGTCGCGTTGTTGCATCGATTTATTCAACGATCTTCCAGAATGACAACTGTACTCGTTCAACAACTGTGAGAAGAGAAATCTGGGACAGGTAATTTTGATCCACCCTGTAGTCCTAATGTTGGTACACGCGGTTTTCCGTTTTAATGGCGCGTAAATAACTCGAGAAATCACCGGGATCGTTAACGGTAATTATTTAATCGGTTCGGATAAGAATCTGCTACCTCCTGCCGGACGTTTACGTAGAATTAGATTTATGTAAATAGAATTGAAGAGGAATCGAGGAAATAAACAGGCGAGGTTAAATAAGGGAAACTGCTCCGAGCGGAAAAAAGCAGTGAAAGTTAAACAAAAATTGAACGGAATTAACGGTTCAGGAGGCTACCGTCTGTCGGAAGTCGAGGGTAATCCAATTAAGTTAATTAGGCGTCGCACTCGAGAGAAAATTCTGCTTTCAACGTTGTATTGTAAGAAAAACCGCTTAACATTGTTCGACGCTCGGCATTGTAACCAGTCAGACTGGTAACTCATTATCGATTTGAACGGGAACGCGCGAGGAAAGCTAATTAATCCTCCGTGACGATAACGAAGAATCAACCATTACGATGTTCAGCAGATTATATCACTATCGGTAACGCTATAACAGACGTTTCCAATAAACAAGTACCATTCTCCACGTATAATTAGCAGAAAAACTGTAGAACGGCTAAAGGAACGTTCGATGTACGATTAACTTCCAAGGGAATCAAAGTAAGAGAAAAGAATTTCTCGGAAAGAATTGCTCGAAGATTTCGTGCGCAGATGAAGTCTTTTGAAAGTTGTATCTTACGAATTTACATAAACACCGAGGAGGAAAAATCACAAAAACCGCAGCTACCACGGCGAACGAGAGTTGCGTTCGTTCGCAAAAAAAAATGGAATTTCCCGTTTACTTTCTTCGGCACATAGGCGTAGAAGCCGAACCGAAATTTCGACAGTGCGTTCTACCCAGGGCGCAAACATCAACGGAATGTTGACTGAAAAATTCTATCAACGCGAATCGATGCAGGATTATTCGAAGATCATTGCACTCTATCCGCGAGTCACTTAAACTTCCAACGTTGGCGTCAACGTCGCCGCTCTCGTTGCGATAACGTACGCGGAGAAAGTGCGCGCGAGTTCCTCGGGAACCGAAGATTCTCGAAGCAGCGTTTCCGCCTGTTTACCGGTGAAAACGATGATCAAACCGCCGACTAATCAATTGACACCGAGCCGTCCCATCAATTTACGCGGTAGACTCCTAAAACCGCTAACGGCGCGAGGAGGAGAATTACCGCGGATAATGGTATAATTGCACAAGGATCTCCGCGAGACGAGGGCTGCGTTAATAAACCGTTACGATAATGTCGGTAATGAAACTGTCTGAACCGACTAAATAAGATGTTCCGGTGAAATGATGGCGTCGCGGGCGCCGTAAAACCTGCGGTCGCTAATAAATAATACCCTGAACGATCACCGTGTTTGCACGGATCTCAAACGATCATTATAGAAGTCACTCTTCGTGTCCTTGGATCGCACAGTTACCATTGCGCTTCGATATTCCATGTTACATCTCTCGATTCGATGTCGCCATCGATCGAGTCTGATGGGGAACGCTGCGTATTTCGAATGAATCGCTAAAACCGATATCGCGTTTCTAACTTTCACGGCCGAAACTCACCTCGGCGATCCAGAAAAATCGATCCTTTCTCCGGCGACACACGGCTGGCCGTGAATCGATCAATTGTGTCGACGGTTCCTCGGAAGTGTCTCTCGAAAAACGCGTCGGAGGGACGCGGCCCGGCCTCTTTCGCCCGGTGTCTACGACAATGATAGAAGGTGCGCGTGAAATTTCATGTAATCTACCGAGTGAGAGCGATCCGGGTCGGGTGGGGTGCACGCAGGAAGTGTATCGCTCGTTTCTGTACCGTTCACTGATTATGTTTCCGTTTATAAGGCTTGCCAGGATTGCGTCTTCTAGTTACCGGAGCGCAGCGGACTCGCGAAACACAAGGGGCACAGCCGGGACCGACGCCATGGACAAGAGAGCGCACGTGGGTGTCCGACATTTTCACCGGTCGTCGGTGCTTCCTGTCGTTGACGGACTTTCGACGATTATCGCTGATTTTTAGACTCGCGGGACGCGATTATCGCGGGAAAAGTGCATTCTCCTTTTTAACTTTTTCCGTCGTGGGGTAATTATATACGGACATACTGAATGAATGCCTGGTGAAATTTGATCAATTTTATTGTTTGTAGAGGTCCTCGTATTGTCACAGTAGAGTCTATTCGACAGTGGTGTCGATCTTGTCAAATTTTGTTATAATCACTTGAATGTGCTTTAGTTTGATTCTGTGATAATACAATTTGACAAAAGAGTTACTATTGTCAAATAGAATATGGTTGTATAATAGGACAACCTTTGCAAACAATAAAATTTACCGAATTTACACCAAGCATTTAGTATGTCCTTATATGAGGCCATGATGAAAATATAATTAGCAGTAGCGTATAATTTCGTACTATCAAAAGTTTGTTTTTCTTTGAATTTTGCTCTAAGTGAAATATTTGATACTTTGATATCTATTATTTAGTAAGACAGTAGACAAACGAAGCTTCTGTTTGGAGTGGATGAGCAGGATTTAAGAATGTTTAATTTGTGTTCGATGTGTACAATGATTCAAATGATTTTTCGATATGTATGGAGTCTCTCTTGTATATTCTTTTACGGTCGTTTCTGTTAATTATCATGGGCCATTAGAGCCTCGACGAACACAGGCATGCAGTTAAAAACAATAAAACCTGTAGCCTGGTACGATCATTTCACCGAACAGGATCCGAATGATACGATTCGTTTGATTACAAACGTGGACGCTTTCACCCGAACTTGTAACGCAACACGATTGATACATTTTTTGGTCTTGCTTCGAATATCCTCTACGGACTCCTGCCTCTGTTAGAAGGTTTCTCCGCCTACGATTTTCACTCCGCGCTGCCTTCCCTGTTACAAGTAATTCGATCCTGTACTAAATAACAACTGGCGACTGAAATTGGAGAGAATGTTTACATCGCAACTAATTGAACGGATCGACTGAATTTTATCTGGGTCGATCGGCCCATAAAATCGACATTTCTGACAACGGAAAATAAAGGATTCTTCGAATATTTAAATAAGCGTGTACAGTCGAATGAAAAAACGGTCTAATAGAGGGATACAGACAATAAGTTCCAACGAGACTTCTTTCAAATTTCCTTAACATTGGATTTCTAATTGGATTACTTACTTTCACATCTCCGTTTCAGGTTTTCCTGTTTGCTTTCGTCATTTCGATCGCTCTGGTATCATCGATGCCGACTCCTGGAGGTGGTCATCACGAACAGTAAATATTCATTCGTCAACGATCGACATTCGTTTGTTTCACAATTGACACTTAATAATGTTCACAGCACGCACTTCATCATACACGTGCCCGAGCTCATTCACAAACATCATCACACTCACGTGAAGAAGATTCATCACATACACAAGGAAGAAGATGACGGACACGAGCACATAGAGGAATGGTGATCACTCGGATTGAAATCTGTTCTAATCGTTGGAGCTTCTCTGACGTCGTTTTACGAAACGTCCATGTTATAATTGTTAAGATTGTTATGTTGTTACTGTACATAATTGTTGACCGTTGAAACGAAGTAACGTTGTAAGAAATAAAATGACTTGAACCAAGTAAACGAGACTGTTCGATACTATTGCTTCCCATGGAAATCGAAGAAAGGGCCGTAGGTATTCGAAATAACGAGCACGAAGTATGTCAAACACGTGTATTGTATAAAAAAATAATGCAACATAATACAAGTATATACAAAATGTCTTTGATCTAAGTACACACATGTGCATACCGGGATGGTACTCTATTTTACATACTTAAGTGACTAATTGCAGGCATCGCGAGCTAGGTTTGTACTATTATTCTCTGCTTCTGTTCTCGTCTAGTACGAATGATCATGTCCCAGAACTATTTGGTCTGCGTGGATGGTAAGTACAGTGATTCTAGCGACTCGAATGCCCTCGTTTTACAACCTGCAACAATCGACACAAATGACATCGCCGCTCGAACACTGATAAATTTTAGTTACCTTAAGAAAGATTCAGAAAACCTACAGTTCAAGATGAAATAATAAATCGTTATATTGAAACATATCCGTCGAAGACTTGTTTACTTCTCGACCAATGAAATTTCAACCCCTTACCTTATATCGCGTCAAACTCTGGCGAAGATTTAGTTTAATTTTGAGAATTTTTAGAATAGAGTTTGAGTCGCTAAGAAGTCAATAATTAAGCCAGTTATTCCATATTCTGATTTTTGTAAATATTAGTGAAATAAATCATATTCTTCTCAACTATTCAAAGATTCACTCCTTCATATTTTCTAGAAAGCCCTTTTACAGCTTCCGAATATTTTATACAATCATTTCAGAAGCACAGCATTAATTCTCTCAATTTTAGCTTTCTAAACTCAACCACTATTTTAGCAAAGGGTTAACAATTTTTTCTATATTTATTTGTAGCATCACAGTTGTACCATTCAAAGGTAACATTTCAATGACTCCCAAATATTCTTGAATAAATCAATAGAGCGTCATATTAAGCTGCAATTGAATGAACTGACGACGTGAACCTCGAAGTGAGAAACCAAGAGCACTTCGGACCGCAAAGGGTTAAACGTATATCTAGAACGAGCGTGGAATCTCTTTCTCCAACGAACGACGAATAAGAAAATAGTCTCGTGCAGCACAGCGTGGAGGAAGTCACAGTGCAAAGGGTTAAGGTCGAATGCACACGTACCTAAATAATAACAAGCCGAAAAGCTGAGCGCTCCCGTCTACCACCATCCCTTCTCCGCGTGAACAGGTACCGGCACGTGAACCTTCTCCACGACAGGGACCGGCACGTGAACTTTTTCGACATGGTGAACAGGTACCGGAACGGGCACCTTCTGCACGTGATGGATGGGGATCGGTACGGGCACCGGCACCTTCTCGACGTGGTGCACGGGTATCTTCTTCACATGATGATGATGGACCGTGTGCACGTGATAAGGCACGTGGATGCGGACGTGGTGGTGTGAACTGCAATCAGCCGAATCGATTTTCTTGGAAACGAGGTAATTGCCACTTGACGCCACTTGTTACTTGTATGGTTATTGTTAATCGAGCGGAACGCTCCGCGCAAATATTCAGTCAAGTTGCTAGCTAGGTTACATTATTTCCTGTTTTGCGCACTATGATTTGGTATCGGTGGTAAACGCATTTGGAAATGGCACTTTAGGGCTGGAGAGGATTTAACAAATTTTTGCTTTGGAGGAGATGAGATTCGGGGAATTTATTGTTTAGGTGAAAGAGGGTTCGAGGGATTTGTTGTTTGATGAAAGAATTTGAAGAAATTGTTATTTGGAAGAAATAGGATTCAAAGAAATGATTATTCGGAAGAAATAGAATTCAATGCTTATTAAGGAACATTGTTTGATTAAAGGATCACTGAATGATACGACTGTAAATTTGTTGCACTTCGTAAATGGTTATTTTTATGGTAATTGATTAAGAGGGATGCTTATGTAAATTTTATTATTTGGAAGAAATATAATGTGGAGAAATTGTTATTCAGGAGAAATAGGACTCGAAGAAATTGTTATTTGGAAGAAATAGAATTCGAAGAAATGATTATTCGGAAGAAATAGAATTCAATGCTTATTAAGGAACATTGTTTGATTAAAGGATCACTCAGTGATACGACTTTAAATTTGTTGCACTTCGTAAATGATTGTTTTTATGGTAATTGATTAAGAGGGTTGCTTATGTAAATTAGTATGAAGACTTTCAGGAACCGTTGAGACACTTTAACAACACTTACCCGTGGTAGCCTGGCACCGGCGAAGACAAGGCCACGGCCAGTATTCCGAACACGATCAGCTGCAACACAAACGTGAATTTCTGATTTGTCCATAACACGTTGCAGCTGCACCGCGATTCGTTTATATGCGCGGCGGCATATTTTTTTCCCTTTTGAAGTTTCACTATGCGTGCGACGTGAGTCGTTCGATCACGAACTCTGGTGTGAAAGTGTCGCGTTCCGATTCATTAATTACATATCGATCTCTTATTTTAGAAATTTCCAATGAAAATCAACCGTAACTGACTGGAGAACATTCGTAAAAAGAAGACGGACATATGTGAAGCTAAAATTTAGTTTAAAAAGAACAACGCTACGATGCTCGAAGTGAACAACTTTGACCAGAAAATAGCGAATGAACCATTCGTTTCAAACGATCTCATCAACTTTCGTATCGAACCTCCCTATCTGCGTATTCCAATAAATCTACATCTCCGAATCCATAAAAGAAATCTAATATCCAATAAATCTTCCTCTCACAGAACTTCCAAATAATCTCACCAAGGGAAACCAAAAGAAAACCCTCTAAAAAATCTCAAACTCTTAAAAATTCAACTAAAAGCACCAAAAACTGATCTTTCCTTACTCCTAGCAAACTCGAAACACAAAACTCTCAAATGATGTCACCAAGGGAAACCAAAGGAAAACCCTCCAAAAAATCTCAAACTCTTAAAAATTCAACTAAGACATACCCTAATATCCAAAATAGAGAATCGTACACCA